TGCAAATCATCTACCTATTTCAAAAATGGGAATGCCTTTCTGGGGATCCATTTTACAAAAAAAAATGTAGGCTACCTTTCATGGCACTTGGCCATACTTTGAGAATTACTGCTTTACACTGCTCCTCCTCCAGAAAAATTTAGACACACACACACACACACACACACACACACACACACACACACACACATTTTACATAAAATTTCAGAGATCACAGATACTCAGAAGCCTATGCGTGATTTAACACGCTCTACTGAGATTATTTTGTACAAGTCTCTGGACCATATCCTTTCTAAATCTCAGGGATTTACCAAATGATGTTAGTACAGAAGAACAGGATTCACGCAGTGACTACCCCCATTCTGCTAAATAAATAAGGCACTCTGGCTATGGCTTCCGTCTCTCAGAGCTTATATTTGACTTTCAATAAAAATATAGCTGTATATATTTTTTAAAGATGTACATTTTCCTTCAATGTGATAAAAACTGACAAATTTCTATAGAAGTTTTCCATTCATCTTTTCTTTAGCTTATCCTCTACTGCCACCAATCTGTAGTTTAGGGAAGGTTTTGCTTAACCTTCCTTGGAATTTACAGTACATCCACTATATTTAAGCCTTAAGTACCAGAGATCTTTAAGGTCAAACTATATACAGTTATGGCATAGTTTCATTTAATTGATTTAGTTTGATTCATGTCAGAGTTTTTAATTCATGTTAGAGTCTTAAATTTCACCTATTCTAGACTAAGAAATGGCAGAGTGGGAGAATGAGCTTGGGCTTAAAAGTGACAGAGACTTTAGGTCAGAATCTGGTCTATCACTTATTTGTGTAGGATACTGGTAAATTATCTAAACTCTCTGAGACTTAGTATTCTTGCCAGTAGTAAAATACCAATGATGGCTACCACACAGGACTACTGAGGAGATTAAATGAACACAGAAGACACCAAATTTCTGTTCAACCCTCTTTCTACCTAAATCTAAAGCTGAACATCTTGATTCCTTCAACGGTGGCTTCTTTGAGCCACATAAAGTCAGAACCACTTACCTTGAGTGATCTGCACACCCCATAATCTGTCCCCCACATACTTGTAGGTAGGCCTATGCACTGTCCTGGGCATATAGCAGCCATCTAGCTACTACTATTCCTGTCTCAGTCTTCAGTTGGTGCACAAATAGTGCCTCAATGTAAATAAAGGTATCTCAAAGCCCCAAACTTAAAAACAAAATATCCAGTCCACAAGCATCACTACTGCATGGCTCCCTTACTCCCCATTCTTTACATTTGTATTCATCATTTCAAAGTAACTTACTAATATAGAAAAACAGCATATCTACAGTCAATACTCAATCTGACTGATACACTCTCAAACTCATAATAATGGGGATGTGTGTGTGAAGAACAAATGACACACATCCTCTAATTTATTACTCAAGTGAGACAGAAATAAGACATATTATAGAAAATTTCACTTACTAACATTAATGTGCATCAGGGGACCATGTCAGGGTTCAGTGACGATTAGTAGCTATGATACTTTTAATATTTGTACTCTGGATTAATTACAAATGAAAAATGTACATTTTAAGTTTAATGTCAACCTATAAAGTTCCAAGTTTTGTTTTCTTGCAATTCTTCTAAAACTGCTACTCACTACACAGGAATGCCAAGAAAAGAGGAAAAGGAACCATTCTTTTTCTTTGTGTCCCTGGAAAGTCTAATTCTCAATTTATCTTGAATAAGAAAAATGTTCTCTGTAGGGCAGGACCATAGAAAGAGTTGTACTGCTCATCTTTCTAACTTGGCAGACTAAACTTATCTACAAATTTATACAACTTTATACAAACTTATCTACAAATTCATCCCTACCACTGTACCTTGTATGGTGGCAACGTAGAAATGAAGACCAAAGCAGACTTTCAGTAATACTGACAGTCAAACTTACTCTCTTACAGGGGTTAGCATGGAAAGAAAACAAACTATAGGAGCTGCCAAAAAACCAAAACAACAAACCCACAACTCTCTGTAACCTGGGCCATTAACTGTCCTTAATAAATTTGGGGGACTTGCATTAAACAAACAAAAAACAACCCTTCTCCCTCCCCCCAAAACCTTCCTATATCATGTACTTATGAAAAGCAAAGGTAACTATGTCAAAATTTATTCTGGTCCCCGCTGAAGTTCAGTTGCACTGGTTTTGGGCAAAATTATCAAATGGGAATACTGTTTTAAATTCCCCTTTTTCTTCTTTTTTTCCTCTACAACTTGTGGCTGCTATAACACTCCTCTCCTGTTACTGAAACAGTTACAAATGTGCTCTGACTACACCTTATGTGAAGGCAAAGTCAATAAAATATTAGTAAATCTTTTAATAAGGGATCACAAAAAAAATAAAGAAAGCTAACTACTGTTAAAATGCTAAAAAGACATTTGTAAATTCCAATTTTCACTTCCAATCTAAAGAAAAAAGCTCATAAATTAAAAATAGCAAGGTATTTTCGCATTGTGATTAAAAATTTATCTCAAATAAATGGTTAAAATCATATTTAAGAGTGAATAAAACACTGGAGAGATCTCTATAAAAGTAATGCAACAGGATGCCTGCTAGCACCACTTTCTAACACTGTTCTTTAATTTTTAGCCTAGGGATTCTCAAGTAGGAAGAGATGATGGTGGGAGATCCGATTTTAAAATGCAGGGAAAAGACCAAAAAAAATCTTTCCTGAGAGACACCAAAGACTTAAATAGAGAGATATACCACATTAATGGTTGAGAGGATTCAATGTTATACTGCAGAATATAAATTCTCCCAAAATTGATCTATAAACTCAAGTATTTTGAAACAAACAGACTTGGTCAACTAATGGGAGAAGCCAGTCTATATACTGCACAGAAAACACTTAAATACCAATAAAACATGGCAAAGAGATACGAATTCACAATGCATAAGTTCACTATATTAATCAACTATAAATCAAAATGAGATTTTTTGTTTATCAAATTGGTAAATGTGCAGAAAAAAATACTCAATTCAAGTAAACAGGTACTCACAATCATTGACTCAGAGGTTCTAAGAGCATCAAAACTATAACCAAAATGTTTACATGAAAAAATGTTCATCACAGTATTATAAATAATAGCACCAAAATGAAAGTAAGATAATATACATCAGCAGGAGACTGGTTTAATAAATTTTAAATACTCACATATAATGGAATACTACACAGTCATAAAAATTGCTTTCATAACATGGGAAAATATTCATAATAATGGGTATTAAATTTTAAAATGTAACAAACCAATGTGTTTTGTGTATATATACATTCACAGGAAGGAAAAGGACTACAAGGAAATATACACTGCAAGGAAGATACATCAAATCATTTTCAGTGAAAACGTCTGAGTATTGAGATCACATACAATTTTTACTTTCTTCTTTATGCTTTTGTATATTTTTCAGATTTCCTTCAATAGAAACATGACTTTTATATTCAGGGAATAACAAATGTAGCAAAGAGATCATCTAAATTTTACGTTTCTGCTCTGAATTCTCTAGGGGCTATAAACCAGAATATGACTTTAATTAGAATGACAACACTCTTAATGAGAATAAAGATGTGTATTTAAAAGCATCTGAAATAAATTTTTACTACAATAACCTCATTCTTATATAATGCACTACAGAGTTAGCAACCAATGAGGTAAATAATAGCATAGGTTCATAATAAAATAAACATATGGGGTGGGGACAAAAAGATCAACGGAAAGGGTCAAAGCTTATCAACCCAAAAAGATTTTAAACTTAGCTTTTATTCTTAGCTTTGATAAAACAAATTTCACATAGTTTATTATATAGTAATCTTATGTTTTGCTCTATGGCCTCATATATTTATATACACATGTACATATGTGTGTGCAAATAAATAGGAAGTATTTAAATTTGAATTGCCTTTATAAATAATCTTTACTATCAAAGTGAATAAACTTAACAAGGACTTCAAGAATTTAAATACAAGAATAAGTTTTGAAGAAACTGGCTCTGATAACAATTCCTGTAGTTATTATTAGCTATGTTTAAAAAATGGCCCTTACATTATTTTAGTGCTAAATAAACATGGGACTACAATGGGACTATGTAATAACCAGACATTTAAAACATCACTTAAACGAATTTAACTTTGGAATAAATTTTTTTAAAAAGAAAATCGACCTATTTAAATTAATTACAGCTATTTACTTTAAATGAATTCACTTTACAAAAGTCAGACTTATCAAAAAAAAAAAAAAGATCCTGACACATCAAACTTAAGGTACATTCATAATAAAGTATAACCCCCAAATTATTGTTTTATTAATCATACCATTTTCTCACAGGCCATAACCAAATACAATCCAAGATGTGAAGATCACCATATCAGAATAAGACTCAATACATAAAATTATAAATTTGTTTAAACATCAACAGAATATAGGTCTACGCAAAAATAAGTTGTCTCCAAGATGAATAAGATCTGAATATGGGATACCCTCCTCACTCAGAGGACATAAGACTTCGGTGATTCCTGAGACTAGACAACCATGAATACTACTATCCCCAACAAAAAATGCTTCAGATAACGCCCACTGTCCCTTTTACAGTGTTTTCCCCCTCATTACATCAGGAGGGAAACCCCAATTAGGTGACAAGAGCCTTTTAAATAACCCACATCTCTTAATTTCCTTTTTATCAAGGAGAGTGTTCCCAGGGCTCAGGGTAGTCTGCAAATCAATGCAAAGGGGAAGCATCAAGAGGCTCATCTGCAGTATTACCAGGGAGCAGCAGGCAGCAAATATTCAAACCCAGAAATTGTGACTCAACATTTCCTATATAGTACAACAATTCTGCACAAATGACAGACATTGTCAAGAAGGATCCTGCCTGAAAAAGATGTAGAATGAAAAGAGAAGATTGACAGACATGAAGGTAAGGTATCTGATTACACTAATATCGGTACTTACGTATCATACCTCTGCAGTGGTGTCACTTTGTTCTTATTCTTATCAACTGAACCCGTAGACAGCTGAAGAAAATTGGGGTTTAATTTATATAATTCTTGAAGTAGCTTCTGTTCATATTCTTGGTGTTTACCCGCCTAGTGGAAGAAGAAATTAAAACTGCAGTGGGACTCACAAAGTGGCTGGTATAAAATGCTGATGTACTTTATGAATTACTAAAGCTATTCTAAATAAAACACATAAGGATTTGTCATGGCGTCAGAGAAACCTGTGAGGAAAATGTCACAGAACTTCTAGACCAATGAAAGTTCTTGCAACAAAACTACAGGAGACATATTCCATTAACTAAGGCATTTCATCACCCACTTTATGTGGAGAAAAGAATATTAACAGACAACATTTTTGCTAGTTTAAAAAACTAGAGGGGCCCTTTTAAACTTACTTCCCCATCTTTCACATAAGAATTAAGTCTTCTAACAGGTCATTACAGAAGTTTCTGAAAATCACTGAAAAATTAGTCTCTCTTTTTAGAAGATTGATAAGTAACACACAGATGAAGAGTTTTACTATATTTTTCATTATCCTAACACTAATTAGCACATTAATTTGTTTTTACATAAAAGTTAATATATTTTAAACTTTAGACCAGAGGATGGCAATTTAGAGCCAGCCACTTTGTTTTTATAAATAAAGTTTTACTGGAACACTCATGCTCATTCATTCATGTGTTATCTATGACCTCTTTTGTGCTACAACAGCAAAGTTGAGTAGTTGCTGCAGAGATCATATTCCCAGAAAACATAAAATATTTACTAACTGGCCCTTTACATAAAAAGTTTGTGAATCCCTGCTCTATACACAACAAAGACAACTCTGTATTTACTGGAGTTGGTAGCTGTCTATCAGAAGGCAGTGTCACAAATGTGATGGAATAAATCAGAAAGACTGACTGTGGAAACTAGGCACATACAAAAAATAAATTACAGTACAATGAAATTACTCTGAATAACTTTTTACTATCTGCATGTATATTATGACTGCAATGACATTTTTTACTTACCTGCAGGGTTGTTAATTATTTTAAAAGTGTGGTCTAAATAGATGTTATGGGAAAACCAAAACCAGAACAGAACAGATCAAAGCAAAAACAAAACAATAAAAACAAGGGCAGTATCATCTAATTGAGCACAACTGTATCATATATATTGCACAATGCATTGTTCCCTGTTCTGAGAGGGCTCTTGCCTGTTTACCTGGGTCTATAAATATTTCATATGGTACTAAATTTTGAGTTATGCAGTAACAAGGAAAGATCTGGTTTTTGCCATGATATAATTTGCTCAAGTTTCCTTTCTACATTGACAAAGTGTTTTAACGAGGAAACCCCTTTTCAAAGTAATTCTGAACTAAGATAAAGAAGAGCAAGATGAATTCAGGACAACAATATGAAATGAATTTTAAACTGTTAAGAAAAAACACAGTTTAGATGCGGGTTTTACATCTTTAAAACATAAAAAGCCCTGAAAATTCTTTCTGCAAGCAATACTTCAGGAGATATTATGGCTTTCGTTAGCCACAAAGAGCTCAAATTGGTATTCAAATGATTTAACAGGGGCAGTTCATAGAGACAGGTTAAATCCCATTACAAATAAATTCTAAGGGACTGTCCATCCATGTCCTTTTACTCTTCAATAATACTTAAGTGAGATCAACTGGGGCTTAGAAATTCCTTGACAGAGATTTTCATTGTAATAGTACCCATAGGTAAAACACAGTTCCCACTAGTCAAAATTCAGCATGAAATGGTTCAACCTTAGACTTCATCCAAAAGAAGAAAAAAATCAAGATGCATTTATTGGATAAGCAAGAAATAAGTAAGTCATCCATCCCCGTTAAATATCACAGAGAACTTATTTTAACACTGTTTTTAGATCATAAAGACAATACATACTGTCAAGAAATCCCAATATATTTATTATAATGGGATTTAATCTGTAGTAACTCCAAGTCAAAAAAGGTAATATTTCATTTCATTTAACAATCTGCTCTGAAAGGAGCCCCTCCTAGACTGTCTCTAGCTTGACTTGGAGAATGAAAGGCAGTAATCAATGCCCCCCACCTTCTAAATGAGAAGTATTCCTGCAAAAGTCCACAGCAACAATCTGAAGTCCTCACCTATAACAGGGAAGTGCAGTATTGTGCTTTGGCATAATCCTCATTTAATATGCCGTATGGTCAACATTTTTACTTGTAAAGGCATGTTTATACTACAAATTGAAAGGAGACAGGAGAACAGGAAATGTAAAAAAGAACACAGGAAAATAAGCCTTCAATTCACCCTTTACAGGACACTGACTCACTGGATACTTTCATGGGAAGAATCATTTTATAAAAATAATGTTAGCTTTTCAGCAGCATCTAATAGAGTATTATTTTCTAGCATGCTCTGTGAAGAGTAGAGATGGGGTGGGGGACCTCATAATTACAATATCCCACTTAGCTTTCATTTTGCTGACATTCCCCCTAAAGTAGCATTTACCAAAATGCTTTCCTTGGTCAATTAAGTCCTGGTTCTACATACCCCTCTGGGATATGTATTAGCATATTAAAGACTCTAAGAAGTGTTGCTGGGGTTGGGGGGGGGAATCTATTTATCTTCATTAATCAAGCATTTTCAAACTTAGTGGACCACAGAACCACTTTTTATTGTAACAATATCCTGCAGAACTGATATTCCATGGAACACTATGTATTTGGAAAATGCTACTTTAAAGTAATACCAGTTTAAAGAAAAAGAAAATTCTTAGTTTTTGCTTTTGTAATTTTAACTTATAAAGAAAAATACTTCCTTTTCTGCAAAGTTGATAATTCACATTACTTTACTACCTGCATTTCCTCTTTTGTGAAGCTGGCCGCCTCGTCCCCCAATTCATGTAGGTACATGCAGTCAGGCTTTGGACACTGCATATTCTTTAAGAAGTAACTGCAGTATTTTGTTGTACCTAGAGATGCCTGCAGCAAGAGGAGGAAAGCGGAGGGGGGGAGGGAAAAAGACCCAAAATGTGAACTGACACCACAATGAAAATTTCCATATTTAGTGTTTTCATTTCACCTAAAATGAGGCACAGGCACAACAAAACAAAGTATGGCTGTGAATACTAGAGAACTAAACTATTATTAGCAGGATTTATTAAAGATGATGATCATTTAAAAGAACTAAAAAAAAAAATCTCGGCCTATGGTTTCCAGAGCTTGAGCACCCAGATTATTTCCCTAGAGGTCAGAAGAGTAGAAAGACAAAATCTGTTCCATGTTTTAAGTGGTTAGGCACATAAGGCAAATTCCGTTTTCTAATTATGCCATCCTTCTTCCACTTACTTAAAAGCATTGCTTGGTGGGACCCTTCATGCAAACCTGAACTGATCAATGCCCAAATATTTAAGGACAACAAATCAGAACAATTATCTATTTCTGACAAGGAGAGTAATAAATCCATTTTCACAAAATATGTGTAAATATAAGGAGATTTTTAAAGATTATCCCTTAATAATGAATGTGTTTACTCCTAGCTGGTAAAACAGGACCCTACATAGGTCAGCTATAAACAAATTAGCTGTCATAGGTTGGAATGGATGCCTAAGAAGCAATCTTCAAATTAGACTCCCTTCATGTAATATGTAAAAGCTACGCTCTTCTCTAGTTAATACATGTTATCCCTTCCCCCTTAAAAAAAAAAAAAAATCAAGAGGACCGTATTACCTTAAGTGTTCTGCCATCTACCACCACATTGTTGACACACTGTATGGCTCTGAGAGCATCTTCCGACCGGATATAGGTTACGTAAGCACTGGCGCTTGGACCCTAAAGTGAAAACCCACTGTTATTAGTATCAAATTCAACAAAAACTTAACAACAACAAAATTATCTTGCAACCTGCCTAAGGAATTCTAAACGCCTTTACTACTACTTTCATTAATAATAATGATAATGATTAGAAGTAGTAGTAGCTTTGATTAAACCATATACTAGTTCATCTTAAGATAATCATACTTAATGAATTTTATCTGATTTTAAGTAGACTAAAATAAATATGAATAAAATATCATCTTTGGCTTGGCATATATTTTTTTAAAAAGTCATCTGACAGGCTCGTCAAGGTTACAAAAAAACATACTTTGAAAGTTAGATAAAAAAAAAATAAGATTTGAAGACAGTGTCAAACTATGTTCTCCCCAAAATAAATGCAATCTGTAAGAGTATTCTATCTGCTAATACCAGCATAACAAAGACGCTGTATTAAGTTCACAATATCTGAAAACATTATTAATTAGAAATCATTATATAATTTAACTGCCTGATAATAGACTCAATCCCCCCTCCCCTTCAAACCATCACTAGATCTTTGTTTTACTATTTCCGTCTTATTACTATCACAGTTAAGTCCTGAAAAGGTCAAACAAGCACCAAAAATTCCCCCACCCCACCAACAGAGGTCACTACACTGCTTAAATCTTTGACCCTTAAGCTTTCTAATCACAGAAAGCAAGTTTTCCTTCTGAGCAGCCCAGGTCAAGCCCAGACCATAGGGAGGAAAGGCAAAAATCCCTATAATTAGTTACCTGTGAGCCTGCATATGATGTGCTATTATTGATGACAACTTTATGTATTTTACCAAACTTCCCAAAATATTCTGGTCGTTTTAAAACCTATAAAAGAAGAAGAAATAAGGTATAAACTGTCTCCATTTCATCAACTTTATCCTTATAATGGGGACATATACCATCCCTCTTCAGTGAAAATAAAATAATTTTTAAAGTTTTCTAGTAAATGTGACTACTTCCTAATTACAATTTGTGTGGTTAACCTACAGGAAAACATCAACAAAGTCTAAAAGCTATTCTTTATTGACCCACTGAATAGAAACTGAGACTAAGTTCAGTATTATCTATTACATTCTAATATCTACACCAATAATCTAAGGGATTTTAGCTTCACAGTATTCTTAAACACAAAACAGATCAAATATCTTAACCACATTTTCATTAATAGATGATCATTATAAGAAAGTAATTCTCAGAACAATGACCAAGATTATGTATTAAACAGAAACAGAAACTCAAGAACAAGACACCAGTAGAGACAGTCTTTACTCATAAATCTATTGTATATAATATTTTATATATTATATTAAAGCATTATTTATAAGTTATGCATTCCAAATATGGTAACAGAATGTTCTTCAAACTTCTATGCTTTATTACTCTGTGTGTGTCAATAAATTTTCCTTATGTCAATTTCACCATTTCTCAACTGTCTCCTGTTTTTTTTTCTCTCTTTTTCCTAATAAATAACAAATGTGAGGTTATGGATGAAAAAAAAACTGGGGAAACAAATTTATACAATATTTTCTCTACTACCTGGTTACTTCTTTGTGGTCATTTTCCCTCATACTTGTGTCATCTCCTTTACTATGTGATCACTATACGCATTCACTTAGCTTCTCTAAAACTTACTTAACCTTGGCTAACCTGATACAAAAACCTCTCCCATGATTTGCAACTACCTCAAAATTAAATTTGTTCTTTTCCTAGAATTCATCTATAGACCTACTGTTCTTACAATCTCTCCAAATAGCAAGCTCTCTCTCAATGAAAGTTTTTTTTTTTTTTAACATCTTTATTGGGGTATAATTGCTTTACAATGGTGTGTTAGTTTCTGCTTTATAACAAAGTGAATCAGTTATACATATACATATGTTCCCATATCTCTTCCCTCTTGCGTCTCCCCCCTTCCCACCCTCCCTATCCCACCCCTCCAGGCAGTCACAAAGCACCGAGCTGATCTCCCTGTGCTATGAGGCTGCTTCCCACTCAATGAAAGCTTTATGCACATATCTGTTCAAGTGTGTGAAAAGTATCCTTACCAAATACTCTTATACTCTTGATAATATTCTCACATACTTGCAACTTAGCTAATATGTTCTGCATCTGACAGAACCAAAGCTTTGTGAAACAGTCTGTGATTGGGGGTGTCATTAATTCTTAACAGTTTTCAACTTGATTTATTTAAATTTTTTTACCTTATTTTATTTTAGGTTTTTATAAGTATAGGGTTTAGGCCTTATGTTTTCTACAGCCAATTTTAATGGATTAGAAGGTGAAGTGACTACATTGGCTTTCAATCTTTCTTCTACCCAAATCCCCCGAGGGATATGGCGGTAGGTGTGGTAAAGGCAATGACTCTTGGGTTGTTCACAAAAAAGTCTTAGAACAGAGGGTTAGGGAAGAGTATACCTTGAAAAGCTTTCTGGCCAGTGGAGTATAGAACTGTATTCAATATTCCAGCTTGATGCATACCAACTCAGCAAAAGGCCTCAGCCAAAATACCTGCTTCAAAGGATTCAGGCTGGTTACAAGTTGTGCTGCATCAGCAGCTCATATCATATCCAAGTTTACGGCAGTAGTTCTCAATAAAGGCAGCATCAAGGGAAGCTGGATCATTTTGGAACTCTGTGGGAGCTTTTATTAGGGGAGGTTGTCAAAGTAACTGGGAGACACTATTCGTGTTCAGTGGATGGGAGCCAGGGAAAGCTTACAGCACTCAGGCTAGCCCTGTACCACAAAGAATTGTCCTGCACCACTTTTGAATGTTCTACAAGACATTCATCTAGCTGAGAGGCCTGTTTACAATTAAGTGAACCTAGAAACAAATTATAAACATAAAGTAGTTCCCCACAGTTTTGACATATGTTGAATTTAAAAGCAAATAGTGTGTAATTAAGGGACTACCACAAGTGCTTTGTTTGAAATTTTACTAAGAATTGTTTCAGAAAAATCACATCATTGGCACTTCATGGTACCTGAGGTGCCAATACATACACCTGTAACAATCTGCCTTTGTAGTTGTCATATTCACAGTGATTCTACAAACAGATGCAAGCACCTATTTTATAACATACTGGAAAAAAAAGTACTTTACAAACTTATATATGCATACAAGTCATTTGAGAATCTAGTTAAAATACATATTTCAGACCCTGAGAGTCCGCATAATTAAGCTCCCAGGTGATACTAATGCTACCAGCCCAGCGGCCACACCTTGAGTAGCAAGGTTCTAGAGCAGAGCTACCCAAGTATTTACATGCAGAAATAGTCTTTTTATAATTTTTAATTTCTCCTTCATTTTTTTCAAAGTATGTATCTACACAGACAGATATTATCAAGAAGTCATTGCATGAAACTTAAAGGGTGTTATAAAATATAAGTTTAAAAAAAAGTGGGTACTTGGTCTGAAAGGTTAAAAGCTGGCTTATGGATAACACCTTCATAACAACATAAGATTTGTACATAATTACACTGAGGAGCCAGAATAATATTTTCAAAGCACAAATCTAGCCATGTCATTCTGTTCTTAAGAATAGTTAATAGCTTCCCATTGCCTTTAAGATAAAGTGCAAACTCATTAGCATGTTTTAAAAGCCCTTCATTATCCCTTACCACTTACCTTGTCAGCCTCCTCTCTCACCATTTCACTCTAATTTTCCAGCCAAACAAATCATTTGCAGACTGAGCTCTTTCTCATCCAGAAGCATTTGTATAATTCCTGTATCTGAAGCACTTTACCCCAGAGATAGCAGGAGAGTACACATCTTCCCCCCAAGGTCAGGTACCATCTCTTGTGCCTCCACAGCACACAGCACTCCTCATAGTGTACTGTTGCTTTTATAAATAAACAGGGGCTACCTTTTTATTGGTTTATGTTCAATGTCTTACACAATGCCTGGCACACTGTAGGTACTTAATAAATGCTTATTGAAAAATTAAACTGTCTTAGTATTGAACAAAAAGAGTAACATGGGGGACTTCCCTTGTGGTCCAGTGATTAAGAATCCGCCTTCCAATGCAGGGGATGAGGGTTCGATCCCTGGTCAGGGAACTAAGATCCCACATGCTGCAGGGCAACTAAGCCCACACGCTGCAACTAAGACCCAACACAGCCAAATAAATAAATAAATACAGATCTAAATCTTTAAAAAAAAAGAATAATAACATGGATATAAAACACTAGTGGGCCTTAATGTATTAGAAAATGGCCTATGGCTGATAAGAAATGGTTTGCCCAGGCAAGGGAAATTTAAATAATTTAGACACTCTATATTAAGTTGCACATTACAGATTCTGTCTGAACATAAGTCAACGAGCAAAACAATACTCTAGTAAATAAAAAAGGTAAAGAGTATGGGTAGCAGGCAGAACACCCTGCATATCACCACATTACCCATATATTTAATGTCCTATATTTACTTCACAGTGAGCCAACTTTAGTACTCATTACCATATAAAAGGCCACATGATAGAATTATAAATTCCCAATGGCATACCTAATGTGTAAAATGTCTTCCTATATATTCTTTGGGAACACAGTCAAGTGTTCATGAACACCACAGAGAAAATAAAAAATGTGGTAAGCAGATGGAAGGATGGATGGATAAATGGACGGATGGAGGAACAACAGACCATTCACTGGTGTAAAATACATTGGAATAGGAGCTTTAAGACCAGGGAGGGGAGGATGGGGCTGGGTTTCTAGCCCTGGCTCTGCTATGAAATAGCTGAGTGATCCTAGGCAAGTCACTCAACTTCCTTGTGCCTCGGTTTCCCGTTTGTAAAATGAAATGTTTGCGTCTTTAAAGTCTTTCAGTTCCTCCAACAAGCTGCTCTTTCACACAGTCACGAACCTGAAACATCCTTGTCCTTATTCGCTGCCCAGCTAATTCCTAATCATTTTTAATCATCCTTTCCTCAGGGAGGCTTTTTGTGGATCTCTGTACTAGCTAAATTCCCCACTGTTACATGTTCTCAAAAAGCCCTGTACTTCCGTTTATAAATGCTCAGCATGCCTACAAGGACTTAATTCTGTCTTCTCCACTGTCTGTAAGCTTGTACGGGTAGAGACTGTCTGCTAAACCACTTCATCTCCAACATCAAAGTACCTAACAGATTGTAAGTATTCAAGAGTTAATTTACAGAATGAATGAATTAGGTTCTGACAATATAAATTTTTAGGATTTAGGAGATGATTACCTCTAATCATTACCTCTAATTACCATATCTTCTAAGATAGTTTTTTTTTTCTATTGAGCGATAAATGAATACATTTGACTATCAATCTTGGCATGAAGTTTTCAGATGTACAAAAATTATTTTCAAAACAAGCTTTAAATTTTCCTAAATGTTCCTGTTTTGCTAATCAGAATTCAGTCAAATATCAAACTGTCATCATCCAAAAATAAGTAAATCACAGGGATCTTCTTTGTCTCAAAAGTTACCCTAACAATTTGAAACTTCGAGTTTTCTAATGAAGCTGACTTTAACTTTTCCAATCTGAAAGGGTTAGACAGTTACATTAAGAAAAATTTTAAAGATAATATTTAGAAGTAGTAGGATTTAATAACTAAAACACTAATCTCTGGTCTTCCTAGGCTTTCAAGAGAAATAAGAGAGAGAAACTAAGGTTTAAGAAAATTCACGGGCTTCCCTGGTGGCGCAGTGGTTGAGAGTCCGCCTGCCGATGCAGGGGACAAGGGTTCGTGCCCCGGTCAGGGAAGACCCCACACGCCGCAGAGCGGCTGGGCCCGTGAGCCATGGCAGCTGAGCCTGCACGTCCGGAGCCTGTGCTCCGCAACAGGAGAGGCCACAACAGTGGGAGGCCCGCGTACCGCAAAAAAAAAAAAAAAAGAAAATTCACTGTCCTCTCACCAAGCACAATGATTTCAAAAGTATAAAACCAGGACAGTGATTTTTAAGTATATTTAGACTCATGATAAAATGTTCTCTCTCACTAGCCAACCCCTAGATTAATTTCTTTCTGTGTAATAGTTCTTCAGATTAATCTTACTAACATCATGTTATTTGAAATGAAAATAAGAAATCTCTGTACATAAGTAAAAGCAAACCACAGATTCTAGAGAAGAGGTAGGAAACCTATAATCCAAACATCAGACTGAGACTATGGCTTAATTTTATCCAGCCTTTGGATGGTGCTCTGTATGCCTCCAGTACCACAGGTGACTGGATTTTGTATTAAGAAAAGCAAGTACATCCATATCCAAGAGTTATAAAATCAAAATAAAAGTTCCATTAATTTACTGGAGTAGCAGGAAATTCCCTGGTCGCCTAGTGGTTAGGATTTCACGCTTTCACTGCCATTGCCCAGGTTCAGTCCCTGGTCAAGGAGCTGAGATCCCACAAGCTGCATGGTGCAGCAAAAAAAAAAAAAAATTAGTAGGAATAAATAGAGGTAGGTAAATAAAAAACTTGCAGAGGCAAGAAATGATCTCTGGTTGGAAAAAAAAATAGTGTTGAAAGAAGGAGACAGAAGCGTTGGGACAAAGTTGTGGCAGTGTTCAAGAGTGAAGTGGGATTCTGCCTGTCTGGGGAGTTAAGTATTAGATTTAGGAAAAAGGGAGAAGTGGCTGCTGAGGTTAAGTCATAGGCCTAAAATGAGCTCTCTCCTTATCATCTCTTATTAAAGAAGTCTTCTCCAGTATGAACCCTCTGACTTTGGAAAGAACGTCTCCGGAAGATCATGTAGCCCACTAATGCCAGCATCTCTGGACCTAGGTCCTAGTAATTCTTGAGCTGCCTCCACATTTATTACCAATGATAAAGCCTTCTTAGTAAGGTCACCCTGATTTTTCTCCTCTACTGATCATGAAGCCCTTCACAGCCTCAATACACAGTAAACTTATCAGCAATAAATATTTTTTATTGTCTCTAAACTGATTTGTACAAAATCAATGTATAGACACCTTAAATTTCCTCCTTCTGGGGCCTTTAGCCCACTTAGCCAAGTTCAAAGATTCCCACCTCCCTAATCATATTCACTACAATCCTCCCTCTGATTGCGACCATCATGAGCATTACTTCAAACCCTTCTCAAGGAGTACTTTTGACAGATTCCCCAAATTCGGCTCTCTCCAACATTCTGGTTGCCAGTCAGTTTCTATCTGCCTTCCCAACAATCTAGTCAGCACCTCCTGGTATATCAGAAACTAAAAGTTAGCAGATGTGCATCCATGGGCATCAAGGAAAGTTATGAGTTCAACATTATTCTAATAAGGCTGGTGGAGGAAGGAGAGAAAAGAGTTAAGTAATAAACAAAAGGGTTAAGACGTCCCCTGCCTCCAAACGAATGACAAAGAACCTGGTCCACAGTTTCCGTTCATCAAATTCTCCTTCTTTCCCCAAAACTGGCTTAAAATGAATGAGTAAAGAATGATGATACAGTATAGCAACAGTTCTATCACTGTTCTATAACCGAGGTTCACTACTTGGGCACGATTTAAAAAAAAAAACACGGATCTTTGGTGGGTTTATGAAACTGCATCTCCACTGTTGGTCCTTAATACAGCTACAGAAAAGAGGAAACACACACAGAGTAGTCATGTCACATTAGCCTTAAGAGCAAAATAGAACCATTATCCAACTTTCACAGGTTATTAGCACTAAAGGGGACTTTAGAGATCTAGTTCAACTGCTTAGTTTTACAACTGAAAAAAATGAGCCAGGGAAGATTAATACATTTGCCTAAGATCACAACTGGTCATTGGTTTCTTAGTGATTATTAAAAAAATATTTCCCATTTTCTCCTAAGTTTTAATATTTTCAGGTAAATCCTGCAGTTGGGCAGAGTCAGCTATTATTTCCAAATATACAAAAAGAAAAAATGCCAAGTTGAGAAAGAAAAGAGAAGAAGACTTACCTCTGGGTCTGCTAGGCGCTGAGACAGACCTACAACAAAGACGAGGTTTTTTTGTACAACACGTACACTAGCCAAATGTTTGCGATTTTCTGATATTTTCTGTTTTCTCTCATTTTGTTTCTGTTTTTTCTCATTCTTTATCCTTTGCAGTTCTTCCTGGGACAGTGGTTTATAAACTGCTGGGTCTTCTGGATATGGCTGTAGGCATAAAACAAATATAGAAGTTAGCATTAAATAAACAGAAAACTGTATGAATAACAATTATCAAATTCTGGATGATGTGTATGCACATCACATCTCCCTTTGTTACAACTCCCTTTTTATGAATCTTTTCAGTTTTTATTTAATAAAAGTTAAATGTTATATAGAATTGTTTTAAAATACTATTTAAACCACTTATTGTGCTGAAATTTGAAACATCACCAAAGGTTCTAAAATTTAAAACAACAATATTGGTATTCCCTACAATGCCTAGCACACAGTTTACAGGAAAATTAAGCTTCTAAGGTACTGTGTAAGAGGCAAAGAGTATAAGTTCTCTCATCTAAATATGGGTTTATGTATTACAATCAACAAATATTTAATGAAAACTTACTATGTGCTTGGAGATTAATGAAGTACTTATTCCTTAATACATTCCCAGTCTAAGGACACAGATGAGCAAATAAACAGCAATACATAGATCCTCTGGCCCAGGAGTTTGAACTTAGCTTCAACACTTATTATCCACGTGGTCGTAGACAAGTCAATTAAACTCTATGCCTCCATATCCTCATAAGTAAAATGAAAATAATCTTAAAGGCTGGTGTAAAAATAACACTCATAAAGCAATTATTATGTGTAACTGGCACACAGTAATCCCTCAATAAATACTAGTAATTACACTCTTACAATGGTTTCCTATCTCATCATTATAATTTTGTTTTCATTCCTATTGCTAATGCCAAGACTACTGATGGCCTGAATAAGAGCTGTGGGCTCACACTGCCTGGCTTTGAATCTTGGATCATTCTTTACCAAGAGACCTTGGCAAAGTTATGTAATCTGTCTGCCTCAGTCTTCTATTCTGTAAAATGGGAATCAGAGTACTTTATTCAGAGGGTTTCTGTGAGAATTAAGAAAGACAACACACTTATAAACTAATTAAAATTGTGTTCTTTACAGAAGCATTCAATAAGTCAGTTATTATAACAGCGAGCCCTCCATATCTGCTGGTTCCACATCCTCAGATTCAACCAACATGGACTGAAAATATTTTGAGGTAAAAAATTCCAGAAAGTTCCAAAAAAACAAAACTTGAATTTGCCATGCATCCAGCAACTGTTTACATAGCATTTACACTGTATTTACAACTATTTATATAGCATTTACATTGTATTAGATATTATATATAACCTAGAGATGATTTAAAGTATATGGGAGGATGTGCGTAAGTTATACCCCAATACTACACTGTTTTATATAAGAGACCTGAGCATCCACGGACTTTGGTAGCTGCGGGAGTGGGGTGTGGTGTTCCTGGAAACGATCCTGTGCAGATACCAAGGGACAACTTAACTACTACAAAAAACAGTCAATAATAAATGGAAGATGGAACACACTAAATAATAATATCTAAAAGCTGAATGTGAAGAGATCCCAGAAATGGGAAACTGTGTCTATCAGAATATCAGAAGTGGGGATTAACAGAAATCCTGCCATCAAGAAAAAAAGTGGGGGACTTCCCTAGTAGCGCAGTGGTTAAGAATCCGTGTGCCAATGCAGGAGACAGGGGTTCGAGCCCTGGTCCGGGAAGATCCCAGATGCTGCGGAGCAACTAAGCCCATGCACCACAACTACTGAGTCTGTGCTCTAGAGCCTGCAAGCCATAACTACTGAGCCCACGTGCCACAACTACTGAAGCCCGTGCGCCTACAGCCCGTGCTCCGCAGCAAGAGAAGCCACCGCAATGAGAAGTCTGCGCACCGCAACAAAGAGTCGCCCCTGCTCGCCGCAACTAGAGGAAGACCGCGTGCAGCAATGAAGACCCAATGCAGCCACAAATAAAATATAAATAAATAGGGCTTCCCTGGTGGCGCAGTGGTTGAGAGTCTGCCTGCCGATGCAGGGAACACGGATTCGTGCCCCAGTCCGGGAAGATCCCACATGCTGCAGAGCGGCTGGGCCCGTGAGCCATGGCCGCTGAGCCTGTGCGTCCGGAGCCTGTGCTCCACAACAGGAGAGGCCACAACAGTGAGAGGCCCGCGTATCGCAAAAAAAAAAAAAAAAAAAAAAAAAAAACATATATATATATGTGTATATATATACACATATATATATAAAAATAAATTTATTTTTTAAAAAAATGAAGAAAGAAGTGGGAATCAGGAAGAGAGGAGGGAGTGTCCACAAGCATGAAAACTTGCATGCCTTTAACATAAAGTAACTTTCATCTTTTCATACATAAAGTTTTAAAAATTAATTAAAAAAACAAACATCCTCCAATTTGTGAGCACACTTTGATTAATGCTGAAGGCAATTAAGAAAGTGAGATTTCCTTTTATGTTCCTCAACGTCTACTAGTAATAACATAAAGTCTCCAAAAATCCTGTTCTTAAATATTCAGGCATAACTCTTGGTGGTCCTGCAGGATGTAAGCATCCATACCATTCAATTCCCACATTTAAAGATTTGAGGGGCTTCCCTGGTGGCGCAGTGGTTGAGAGTCCGCCTGCCGATGCAGGGGACACGGGTTCGTGCCCTGGTCCGGGAAGATCCCACATGCCGTGGAGCGGCTGGGCCCATGAGCCATGGCAGCTGAGCCTGAGCATCCGGAGCCTGTGCTCCGCAATGGGAGAGGCCACAGCAGTGAGAGGCCCGCGTACCGCAAAAAAAAAAAAAAAAAAAAATTTGAATCTATTTGGCATACTCCAACTTACTAGTGAGTGGGAGGCACAGAAAACAGAGGACTCAGTAATTTCCCTGACTTTTGCATGACCTGAGGGCTTTCTCCAGGATCAAATATAAAGTTTATGTCACACATTTTAGGGGTTCAATAAATATTTGCCACCTTAATACCAAGCTACTCTCTAGAAGTGGAAATTTAGCACTACTAATTTTCTTTTTAAAAAAAAAACTTATGTCGGGCTTCCACTGTGGTGCAGTGGTTAGGAATCCGCCTGCCAATGCAGGAGACACAGGTTCGAGCCCTGGTCCAGGAAGATCCCACATGCCGCGGAGTAACTAAGCCCATGCGCCACAACTGCTGAGCCTGCACTCTAGAGCCGGTGAGCCACAACTACTGAGCCCATGTGCCACAACTACTGAAGCCTACATGCCTACAGCCCATGCTCCACAACAAGAGAAGCCACCACAATGAGAAGCCCGTGCACCACAACGAAGAGTAGCCCCCCCACCCCCCGCTCACAACAACTAGAGGAAGCCCGCACACAGCAACAAAGACCCAACGGAACCAAAAATAAATAAATAAATAAAAAGAATTGGCTACCATCTTTAAAAAAACAAACAAACTTATTTCAAAGTGTTCTTACATTTTAATTTGAGGAACCAAATGGTTAAGGATCTATTACAATAAATTCAATTCTTCAATCAATGATGTAATCTTCCCAATTTAAATCCCTTCTCTCTCCACTCACCCTTCTGTACCTATATCTCCTTTCAAATCTTAATCTATCTGCCTGGATGATTTTAATCCCACGAAGCTATTCAAAGCTATATGGGCACAAGTATAAAAATGAACTACATACAAACCAATTAAAATATCTTTCCACAAGATCATTTAAAATTTTCATTTGCACATGGAAAAGCTATTTTCTACCACAGGATTTCTGGGTAGCTCCTTTCGGAGTGTTTATCATTAAGTTTATTTGAAAGTTGTTGCCCTTCATTAACATCTATAGTGGTGATAGTCTACTCCCTGAGTGGATCAAGCATATAGATTGTTCCTAGTTCCATTTCAAAGTCTAATCCACGCACTGAATCTTACCAGTCCATGATAAGAGAAGTATAAAAATTGAGAAAAAGCATTTGGAAACTTTTATAGCAACTTAACATTGCCACAACATTCAAGTACCTCATCAGTGGGCTCTGAAGAATAAGATAGTTATCTGTGTGGTTGTTATCGAACTTAGGTGGTAAATCACATGACACAAGCTGGGTATTAGGCATGCTTAATAGGACCCTGTATCAGTCACCAACAGACTGTGGTTGGGGGTGGGGGTGGGTTACAAAAAATCTGGTTCTGCATCAGAGATAGTCTGAAAAACACTGATGTAACTTTTAACTCTTCTGAAAACATGAAGGATTTGACAAGCACTCCGGTTTTTTTCTTTGCTAACAATCTCTGACACTGTAAAATCCTGATAAAAGATGATGCAAAGTAATACAAATGCCAAAAAAATTAAAATACATACACACACACACAAAAATGGAGAATGACAATTACCAAAAATTGGGTCGCAGTATCAATTCTCATCAAGTATATTACTGATGCACCACCATGTTGAGTATATAACACTGGTTACCCCAATCTTCTTCTATATTATTCCAAGTTTTTTCTATGGAAATATACTTCCATAAGGCTTCAAAGTCAACTTAAAGTCAATTTTATTGGAATATAACTGCTACATAGTGATACATTACACATACCAATACAGAAAGATACCAACACAGGAGAACAAATTAGTTTACCATGAATTCCATGATCGTTCCTCCTCCACACACACACCACCATAAAAACCTACTCTACAAATCCAATAATAGAAAATTAATAAGCTCATACAGTAGATGAGGAACGGAGGTAGATTAAAGATGGGATATGAAAACACGTAATTTGAATAGCTGCAGAAAGAGACCGTGACCCACAAAGCTAGTAATAGTACTAAAAATGAATATAAAGAAAAATATATCTGGTTTACTTTTTGACTGAAACAGATAGGTTAAACCTAATTTTCTAGGAATATAGGATCAAATAAAAATTACAAGTAAAAAACTTTTCTTTAAAGGTACTACTGCATGTTACAAACTAGTGTTAAATAGGACACCTGTGGAGAAGCATTTTTAATGTGTAAAATATTTCTAATGGTGTTAATTTGTCAACAAATTGCCAAACTACTAATTAAGATGGTTTATAGTCTCTAATGTAATCATTTAATTCCTTTCATATGTTTAGTTATGTTTCCACTTTTATTCCTAATTTA